ATGAGCTCCCTTTGTCAACTCCAACTCTCCATGCAGAGTCATGAGAGAAACATCTCACTAGGATTAGAAAACATCAAAATGCCCAGGCATTCCCTGGGCAACATCCTTACAGACGGCCAATTCTCTCACACCAGAAGTGACTTGCAGTTTTTCAGGTTGCTCCTGGAACACACACACAAAAATAGGAGAAATATAATTTGGAGCTAAAGTGAATGAATGATAGTCACAAGTAGGATAGCTACACTGCAATAATGGGCTTATTTAATAACTAACAAATCCCATCCATTTCATTGGATCTATTCAAGTTGGTACTGACACTCAATTTTCTCTCACAAATATAAACTTAAATCCAACGTGTTACTATTACTGCAGCACCAATGCAATTTTTCTTCCTATCCTTTCTCCTGAGGCTCATAGAACTTTAAAAACAAATATCTCAAGGTGTCTCAGATCTGGAATAGTTTTTCTGGGCTGCATGAGGGATGCACAGAGAAGGAGAAGTCCTATCCTCCTCATTCTGGAGTGTCCTGTTACACCAACAAAAGCCCAACATTTTATTCTTTTCATACTTCTCCTGGGAACACTGGGAATAAAGGAATGCAAGGCAAGTGAAGTTTGAATATACATCCCCATGTAGAGAAACAAATACCAGGAGAGAACTAAGGAAGCTATTCCATGCTTCTTATATTTCAAATCACACATGATTATACTGCTGAACTTTCCATTATATACTGTGACTTATCAACTATATTTGGCTTACCATCTCAGTGAATAACTACTATTATAAAGCAGGCTACAAGAGGTCAGTAATACCACTATTATTATCATTTGGGGTCTAAAAATGAAAGCACAAGTATTCTTAATAGTGTAAATAAACTCTTTTGGTTTGCAAACAGCATGTCTTTGAATCTTACTGAGAGTTTTGCCTCTCATGCCTAAAACATAAAATGGTCACACCATCCTCATATGCCACTGATGATAATTGATGGCTGGCAAATGAGATGAATGTCTTTGTAAAATTTTTATAGACATATTACTGATCATTAAGAAAAATATCCATCATTAGCGGAGAAAAGCCAATGAGCTAAGGTCAACTAAATTAAGAATATGAAAATGTCAATATGTTGTTCACTACAAGTGCCCTTTTCTATTTTCAGTTATTTCCTTATTGTACTTATTGTCACTCATTGAATGATTATATTTTCACTAACTAAAATCTTTCATGAACTCAATAGAAATGAGTAGAAAATTAAACTACATAGTACCAAGTACACGGAACACAATGCAGTTCATATTAAAGACATTCAATAGCCTTATATCTGTCACACCCTGTATTCAAGCATTAAAAGGCCACCACAAGTCTACATTGGCCAACCACTCTTCCCAACTTATGTCTACCACATTTCAGAGGTTTTGAGTAGGTCAACTCCTCCCTCACACTTACAAACAAAGCTACATATGAAGTCTTAGCATTTGTTATGATACCTTTCTTTCTGAAGCTTTCTCTATTATTTTGGTTTTATTCAGCTGTTTTGGGGCCTTCTACTTTCATCTTACTCATGCTCAAGTTAGCCACCTTCTATTTCGATGGAAAAGCAGGATACAAAATTTGAACTGAGGCAGGCACCATAACCAAAAAGACACTATCTACAGTGACTACTCTTCTTATATAACTGGAGAAGGTCTCAAATGCTTAACTTTATATCGGGCAAGTCCATTCAATGCAATACCTCAAATACCACACTGTCAAGCTATTTAGCGTTAAAGCCAGCATTTTGAATTTTGAGAGGTAGCAGATATATTCCAGATAGCAAAAACAGAGGACTCTTGTATTAGTCAACTTGATATATATGTGAATGTCAGGTTTGGGGGCTAAAATTATGGATTTTGATATGACCTGTGGATATGTCGTGGGTCATTCCATGGGGATGGGAAAGCATCACAGCTAGCATGATCCCACCAAGACATTCAAAAAGCTCTTTTGTCACTTTACTCAAAATAAAAGGATGTTTCCTTTTTTGATAAAAATTAAAGTACATTTTTAAAAGTGTCATTTTGTTCTCTGAACAAAAATAGTGTAATCTGTTTTGGGGGAACATAGAAGAAGAAGCAACCCCTATCCTCTGTTACTCTCTCACCACTCCTTTGACGGGATGGATACTTTTTTGGCAAGACTTAAGGTACACTACTTACACTGATCTCTAGATATGTTTGACCCAGAATTTTTGTGTGTCTAATAGTCTTTTCACTAAAATTGCCAGACATATATGAGTATATACAGTAATTACTTACTCTTTCCCTGGAAACATTGGCATCCAATATATGTACAAAAGTACAGAAGCTTCAAACTTCAGTGCTCTTTCTTGTTCTCTTAGAAAGTTAATTTCAAAACTGGGTGATTAGAGAGAAGATTGTCTGCTAAATGGAATTTTTATCAAAAGCTGTCCTATCTCAAACAGAAATGAGAAACCTTAAGCTCAGCCCTAATGGGAAATATTTTCATTATGCAGTTATAGCAAACCCAAGCAGGTTTTTGTCTGCAATTAATTATACAAATCCTATCCTTTGGATTGAAAGAAAAGGGATTCTACCTGTGTCAAGAGAAATCTGTTTCAAAAAGAGGATTTCTAAATGCTTTTGGCATCTTACCAGATTAAATGTACAAAACCAGAGCTTGGAAAATGTATCTTAAGAGGGCAAAATATTTATTGGGGTACTCTGATGTAGTCCAAAAATATTTTTTCAAAGCTCTTCTAATGTCTTTCTCATCTTGTCCATCCATCATCTTATTCACCACTTAAATAGCAGCAAATCAGTTACAGTATACTTTTACTGCACATATATATTGTATCAAGTAGTGTAGATGAATATCTTTGTTTATTTCTGCAGGGCCTTTCTAAAAATGTGTGTATGCACATGAGAGATAGAGTTGGAGACGTTTGGCTACTTTAAGGAGGTGGTTGAATTTCTGATAATTATTTTGAAGGTTTACCCTAGGATACATGAAATACCTGAAAATATATGATGTAACTAATCTTTCTTGTTTCTGCATTCTGACCTTTCTTTTACCTTAAATAAAGCTTGTACTAGTGGTGAGTGGGCAGCAAATGGCTGGGAATCTGCTGCAGATGTTCCCTAAGCCCAAACACTCATGAAATAAATCATTTTGTACTACAGGTTGAGTATACCTTATCCAAAGTGCTTGAGGCCAAAAGTGTTTCAGATTTTGAGGTTTTCCATATCTTAGACTACTTGTATTTGTATACATGCCAATAATAAGATATCTTGAAGTGTAAATATGAAATGCTTTTGTTTCATTTAATATACAACGTACACAGAGTCTGAGGTTAATTTTATAGATAATAGTTTAACTAATTTTGTGCATGAAATTAAATGTATATACACTGAACTATCCGAAAGCAAAGGTGTCGCTAACTCAGCCACACATGTGAATAATTCTGGAGTGTTTCAGATTTCAGAATTCCAGATATAGTTTGGAAGGCATTCTTGGGTCAAAACATAAATTAATAAACATTGCAGACTAGGTGATGGGTTCCATTAAAAGCAAAGGAAGAAAAATCACTTAGTTGTATTATTGTATATATAGAGATAAAACAATACATGTGACCACTAACCTTTCTGAGAAATCTGTTCAACTCTAATCATGGGCATTTATTTAAGAAAGGCATTTACTATTAAATGTAATTATAGGGATAGCATGAAAGTGGATATTGTTTCTTCAGTTACAAAGATCAGAGCTAATATTTTTCCAGTAACATATATAATCCTTTTACTATTTATCTATGAGGAATGCAGCTCATACTTCCAATATTCCATTAAAATACTGCAAGATGGCCACATCTGTTTTGCATAAATAGATAGGTGTCATACTAGAATACATTACCTAAAAATGGTGTGCATGTGGTATTGGTAGGCAAACTAATACTTTGAAGTGGTAGCATATACATGGATGTGACATGACACGTCTGGAAATCATGTACAAATTGGCCCTGGACCAATTAGCATTGTTTGCCCTGAGGGATCAATAGATATTTAAAATAAATATTTACATTAAATTTAGGATTGCATGCAATGACTCAAATGTCTCCTCAACTCAACCCCTTTTCAATGCACTGTTATAATAAAGAACATCATGGGTTTTCATTGTACTTCTATTGTTCTGGGTTGCCCTTTTGTGAACAATTCTTTTCCCAAACTCCTTTTCTCATGGGAGGGCATATCTAGAACATTCATTTTAGAAAAGGTATGTAGGGAAGCCTTAAGCAAACCTTCTTCCCAGACTACAAAAAAACCCCTACCTTTCAAGATTACCTCATTTCACTTCTGTTGCATTCTGCTATTCTGCTAGCAGAAAACAGCTGCAGAATACAATTGTATACTGGCCACAGTAACAATATGATAACAACATGTTCCATATTTAAAAAAAATTCAAACACTTCACACCGATTCAGCAAAATGAGGACAAATCTTACTGATTCATTATTTAATCTGGAAGAGAACATATTATATAATATTAAAATAAACAGAAGCAGTAATATATGTAAGACTATCACTTTGTCTCACAGGTTGCCAAGTACAGTGAGCCAAGCAAAAGGATACTATATACACTTCTGATATTTGACTACAAAGCCACCATTAAACTGCCACAAGAACACTGTAACTTTTAGAAAATGATGTCTCTGGGATAAAAAGAGTAACTCAAACATTTGAGGCTTGAAGAAGGATAAGGAATTAATACTCATACAGTTTGTTTGTGATGAAAGATCTATCTGGCTGTAGTGTGAATGGAAGACAATTGGAAAAACTCAAATTGCAGAAGAGACATCCAAAAAGGTCAACCATTACAACCATGTATTTTACTTTAACCAATTAACCAAATGACAAGTGTGAAATAATAAAGGTTCCATTGGGGAAAAACACACATAAATACATTATATCATGCATACATTTCTATAAAAAGATACAAATTATCTACTTACATCGGAATTAAATCTTAATTGGCAGATGTTGCATGATATGATTTGCTTTCTTCTGTGGTGAAGAGGAACTCCAAATGTATGATTTATTACAGCTTTTTGAATTGGGTCCATCTGTAACAAAAGAAGAAAGAAAAAAGTGTTTCTGTTCTCTTGAAAGTATTGTGCTAACAATGCAGTTACTACACTGCCAAATTCATTTTCTTATTGAGTGATATGTATGTGTGTGGATTTATAGTTATATATGTGTCTTTATATATCTATGTGTGCATGCACATAAAACAGGTGGGCAACTGAACTTCAGTTTCAAGCATTCCTCATCACTGATGTTATTAGGGATTGATGGGAGCTGCAGAAAAGCAACATCTAGACCACTTTGGCCATTGCTCATATTAAGGAGGGAGAAAAGGACAGAAAGAAAAGCAGCAGGAATCTTTTAAAAAATTGAGTAACTGATATTTAAAGAAAATGAAATCAACAACAACAACAATACTTTGTATTCTGTCTCCTCTCCCAAAAGGGACTCAGGGCAGCTTACAACAAAAATAAAATACAATATCTTTGAAAGGTACAATTTTGAAAATTCTCATGACAGTAAATTGCCAAAGTCTAAAGGAATAACTGCCGAACATTTTGACATGTCAAAGTGTTCTTTCTTCCTTAACTTTAGAAACAGCATTTAACATTTTGACCCCGAGAGTCTTTTCTCTCTTGTTTCACTGTTCATTGGCAGGGAAATAGTCTGTCTTTCAGGAATGTAATTCTTCACTAAGCTTCTTCTTAAAGTTAGCAACAAGTAATTTCTGCAATTGTTCCCCACAGTAAGAAAGACTTTGAAATCATGCCGTTTTTGAAGGCTATTTGCAGTTTAGGACTTATTTTACACAAAATCTGCATACAATTGTTTTGTGCAGAAAATAGTATTCACAGCATGGAGAATAATATTTCAACAAAGAAACATTTATTTCTACGTGTTTTACATAGTATAAATTACTCATTATGGTATTTTATGATTATGAATATATGTACATTCAAATATTTTCCACACAAGAAATAATGCTATTTTCTGTTCAAAATAAACTTGTGTTGATTTTGTTCAGAATAAGTCCCAAAGGGTTGAAAGCCAAGTCCAATGAGAAATGGCTTAGGAAGCTGGGTATGTTTAGCTTGGAGAACAGATGGCTGAGAAGGGACATGATAGCCATGTTTAAATATTTGAAAGACTGTCAAACTGAGGAAGGACAACTTATTTTCTGCTGCTTTAGGGGCTAGGACATGGAATAATGGTTTCAAACTGCAGGGAAAGAGCTTGCACCTGAACATTAGGGAGAACATTCTGATGGTAAAAGCTGTCCGGCAGTGAAATATGATATCTCAGAGTGTGATGGAGTCTCCTTCTCTGGAGATTTTTAAGCAGAGTCTGTTTGGCTATCTGTCGGGAGTGCTTTGATTGTGGTTTCCTGCATGGGGATGAGCCTTGTGATCTAATCCAACTCTCTGATTCTAAATATTTTAAAATATTTTTCCATCCCTAGTGTCTTACTGGCACATATCTTTGATAATTCATCTTCATCAGTTGCCCTTATTTTTCTCCACTGCCTTCTCTGTAGCATCAAGTAGAAATAATAAATCCACACCATCTATCTGTCTCGAATTGGCAAAGGCTGTCCTGATTAATCCTCTGATATCCCATTTTGGGGCTATTTTAAAAATGTCCACATTTCTCTCCTTTCCTATCACTTCCCCTCTTTGTCCTCAGCTTACTTTAATGGTTGCAAACTGAGTTCAAAGTGCACAAATAGTTTGCACTGAACTCTGAAGGAGGGAGAGGAAAAAAGTGGAGACAAGGGGAGGAATCTTGCCTTTCCCTGTAGACTTAGGCAAAGGCAAATTGTTTCAGCCTCTCCGAGTTATGTTTTTCATCCTCTGATATTGTTTGTGCATGTATGTCTCTATCTTGATATGAGAAATATTGGAGGATATGAAAATTAAGACAAGACTCCAGAAAAAGCAGAAAACAGTAAGAAATGAGGAAGACTGTGTCAAATCCTTTTTAATTTTTGATCCTGTATGGTTTATGCTGTTTCTAAATTATTACACTATCACAATGTTTAGATGTCAATTAGTAGCTGAATTCAGGTGCTAGTCTTTTAAATTGACTAGCAGCTTACCTAAAGATTACTGTAGGTTGGTATTCTGTGATTTAGAAAGAGGGGAAAATTCATGCAAATTGAGCAGAAGTAATTTCAATTCTTTTCCATTTTTACTCCAAATTTTAAAGGAGTGCTGAATCTATTTTTGGAGAGAAACTGCATGGTAGTTTTAAAACATGGAATGGATTCACTGTCCCATGGATGTGGAAGCTATTAGATACCACAAAGCAACAAAGCACCATTCATCATAGCAAGTACTTCTTATTTTGGAACTCAGTTGCAATTTGAAAACATCTTTACTTTGCACCACACACTTCATGGACATGGTTCATAAAACTGTAATCATCTTTTAAATATGTCATGCTTTAGTTGACATATGAGTTTTTTTAAAAAAACACAGCTGATTTAAAATGAAGACATTTCCCAAGTAATAAAATCAAGAGTAGGAAACTGTGGCACTCTATGAAGAACTATGGCTACCTAATATAGGAATATCCCACCACTGCCACCAATTATGGAGAACTATGGCAAACTAATATAGGAATATCTCACAAATTATAAAGGACACAACCCTCCAATGATTGCACACCATGAGGGAAATCAATACACACACACACCCTCACTCACAGAAAGCCCAAACAGCGGAAAGCCACCACTGTATACATTTTGTTTTGCCTTTACCCCTTCCAACTATTTATTAAGGATTACTTTCACTGACACCAATATGTTATCTCATTAGGCCACCTCCTTTACTGAAATGCTTAAAAGCCACACTGAGACTTCAGTTGTAATAAAACAGGAAATTATTGTTTATTTAGAACAGTCAAATAAGCTTAATGGTTGCAGTTAACTTGTTAGGCTTTTCTTCAAAACAGAGGAATGGTACTTAAATCTTCAAAGCACTCTAAATGCTATAGAGGCCTAAAACTACAATTTTCTCAAAGAGGGTTCTTTCTTAGAACCCTAAAACAGTTCCCAAATCTCTTCCTTCCTTCCTTCCTTCCTTCCTTCCTTCCTTCCTTCCTTCCTTCCTTCCTTCCTTCCTTCCTTCCTTCCTTCCTTTCAAGCTCCTGACTGCTCCTTCTTCCAACCCAGTCTCCAAACTGTTTCTTCCTTAGCACCATTTCCCTAACCTTATTCCTCCTTCTTCCATCCCCATCTCCTAACTGATCTTAAAATGGCTTCTGTCTTCTTCTTCTTCTTCTTCTTCTTCTTCTTCTTTTTTGGCTCTGGCTCCGCCCATCTCCAGCTACTGAGCTTTTCCCCCTCCAATTTTATCAGCTAATCAGACTGACTTTCTGGCTTAGCGTCCACCTAGAGATTGCCTGATTGCTCCACCATCAGCTCTTGCTTAGCTTAGAATCATAGAATCACAGAGTTGGAAGAGACCTCATGGGCCATCCAGTCCAACTCAGGAAAATTGCATTCAAAGCACCCCCGACAAATGGCCATCCAGCCTCTGTTTAAAAGCTTCCAAAGAAGGAGCCTCCACCACACTCCAGGACAGAGAGTTCCACTGCTGAACAGCTCTCACAGTCAGGAAGTTCTTCCTAATGTTCAGATGGAATCTCCTTTCTTGTAGTTTGAAGCCATTGTTCCATGTCCTAGTCTCCAGGGCAGCAGAAAACAAGCTTGCTCCCTGATCCCTATGACTTCCTCTCACATATTTATACATGGCTATCATGTTTCCTCTCAGCCTTCTCTTCTTCAAGCTAAACATGCCCAGCTCTTTAAGCCGCTCCTCATAGGGCTTGTTCTCCAGACCCTTGATCATTTTAGTCACCCTCCTCTGGACACATTCCAGCTTGTCAATATCTCTCTTCAACTGCGGTGCCGAGAATTGGACACAATATTCCAGGTGTGATCTAACCAAGGCAGAATAGAGGGGTAGCATGACTTCCCTGGATCTAGACACTATGCTCCTATTGATGCAGGCCAAAATCCCATTGACTTTTTTTGCTGCCGCATTACATTTTTGACTCATGTTTAACTTGTTGTCCATGAGGACCCCAAGATATTTTTCACTGGCCTGGCTTCTCTCTTTTAAACCAACCCTTATACACACCAACCCTTCAGGCTAGACCAATCCGTAACACACACCAACTCTTTAGGGTAGGCCAATCCGTTACATGCTCTTTTTTAGACTATAGCTCCCAGCATCTACCATCAGCCATCCTGGCTTGGGGCTATTGAGAACTGTAGGACCTTAAAAGTAATAATATCTAGAGAGCCACAACTGCCTAATCTAAGAGGAATTACCGAGTAATAATCTCTGGAAGTTGAATTCTAACTGTAGTTGCAGAAATTGGGTTATTTCTCCCATTAACACTCCATACAAGCTTTCAAGGCAGAGTTGTTGAACTTACTGAACATATAGCAGATGAATGGTTGCCTCACTATGCACTTTCTATTACCCATAAAGGCATTCAAAAACACTATTGTATAATATAGGTCCGCACACTGTTAAAAAAACCTGAAATTGAAGAGAATAACATTTTATTCCAATTCATGGGGACTTTGCTTTTGTATCCAACTATACCTCCCAAAGATAACAAGAACACGCATAGAGAAACAAAGCCTAGGAAAGGCAGAGATGCAACAAATCATAGTCCTTTTTTGCACTAGTAGAATGCAACAGAGCTTCTCCGGCACATTTTCTACAGTTGGAAGTCATTCGGCATTGGGAAGATGGCTATTGTGGCATAACTTGAGAAAATCACTACTACAGCTATCAGGCAGCTACCATAATTTAAGTGCTAGATGAAGACACTAGGAGGTCAGGCTTCAAATCTCTGCTCAAGTCTGTGACTGTCACGAAGTCATATGCAGCCCCAGAGGAAGGCTATAGCAACCTGCCTCTGAACAAATCTTGCTGAGAAAATGCCACAATAGTTTGCCTTAGGGACACCATAAACTGGAAATCACTTGAAGGTACACAACAAGGAGGTACTACACACTTCA